GAGGCGTCGAACGCGTACAACAAGAAGCAGAGGGGGGAGGAGGAGGAGGAGGCGGAAGGGCAGAAACGAGAAGGCGAACGGGAAACTAAGGCACTTGTCAAGTAACCTAAAAGCACTCGCCGGTTTCAACCAGGACCCTTGCTTGAGGAACGGGGAGACGCCCAGAGAGCTGCCACGAAGCGGTCGCGGCACCCTGGGGCCTTGGTGCGGAGCGAAGAAGAGGAAACGGAAGAGAAATCAAGGGGACGCGTTACCTTCCCGGTTTGCGGATGAAGACAACAAAGTTGAGGAAAGTGAGGTTCGATGTGAATTCAAGCCTCTTTCGTTGACACACGACGGAAATGATAACGAGGAGAAATATATTTCGGTTAATTTGAAAGCCGGGTTATGTTTCCCGGCGACAATTATAAACGGACAACAGATACGACCAAAAACACGTCGACAACGATTTGACGGACAACGAAACACCGACAAACTCACAACATAAAGGTTACGACACCCAACGAGAGTACATGAGAAACAGCTCCGAGAGAAGAAAGCGACTTGCTGTAGCGGAGGCCTTCGCGGGGGCGGGCGCGTGGGCGTGCCGCGCCCCGCCCCGCCCAATCGCGCCGCTCACACCGCGTCCACCACCAGGGTGGGCGGCAAGCGCGGGCGCGGGCGCGGGCGGGGCGCGTGGGCGACGGTGGCGCCGGCCAGCACGATGCCCGTGGCGGCGGGCCGCTACTACTTGTAGCGCAGGAAGAGCGGGCACGCCAGCACCTGGCAGCAGCAGAACACCACGCCCAGCAGCACCAGCGCCACCAGCAGCGAGTACACCACGCACAGGTGCACCAGCGAGAACAGGTACAGCGTCTTGCTACACCACACGTCCGGGTCGCGCGGCTCGGGCTGGTACTTGGGCCACAGGATGTGCAGTGTCCAGTAGTTACCCAGCGCGAACCACACCTGCAACCAGTCACGTGTCGCGTTCAATCGGAGAACTAAGAGCCAAGGAGTACAGATTCCGAGCGCTTCAAGCACTTAAGTCATCACTTCTGTAAGTGTAGTGCATGTTATATACCTGAAAATGGCAGTGTTCCCCTCCTCTGGAACCTGATTTCCCTTGATTGCAGGGTTTTCTTCCTCCTGGTATCTTCTCTAATGGTTCATAAGGTCGCAGCCGCGATAAGCTCTCAGCTCTCGACTAGTTCCCACCTGTAGGTGTTTGTGGGTATGTGGGAGACTGAGGAAGGAAAAATCGCGTATTGACCGTGGCCGTATGTTAGGGTACAGTTCCAGCATTCGTCTGGTGTAGCTACGGTGAACCATGGGAAAATACTGATCGCAGTAACTTACTATTAGAATTTTCCTCTTTTCTTCAGGTACGAATTCGACCCAGCTATCTAGCAAGTGCCTAAAATCCTCCATGTCGGAACTAGATCCTCAAGACCACTCGGTCAACGGTGATGCAGATACAACCGTTTGGCCGCTGAGCTAACGCTGTCAGAGAGGTAGATAGCTGCTCTCGTGTACTCTTTCTTTCGTGGCCCTCACTTTCTCATTAAGGGTGAAGTGCAGTCCCGAAAGACATGTCGCCGGTGGTAGTGTGTTGTCGGAACGCACGTGCAAATGAGCACGCGTGTTCCCGGCTTGTTCTTTGTCTTCTCTTTCAACAGCTTCACAAAACGTTTTTCCACCTTCCGTTCTATTAAATACTTCAATTACAAATTAAATACGGTCTCTATGTCGAGAACTTGTTGGTAAGGCTCTGTCCGTGGCAGTCATGCTTTTAGATATTGTGTTTCAAATAATGCGAGTCGAGAAATGTCTCCTCACAAGTTAATGTTTCGTTTCATGCTTTACGGAGATTACTCACTTATATAGGCTTATGAACATTTCTTTTATTTCTGCGCTTAAATTTACGTGGGCTGTGCCTGCGAGGGACTGTCTAAGTTGATGAGCGTTAGATCTCGTACCAGTCTTCGAGCTGGATTGCCAACTTTCGGGGCAAGTAATTTTGGATGCCTCGCGTTTTCACTTCTCATTTATCATGTAGCTTCACCGCTTCCTCGGACTCTTATGTAGGATAATATGTACCTCCATCGCTACGCTTTTCGAAAGTAATGTATTGTATACTTCCTTTAAGTTTGCAAATTTGCGCAGATATGCACTTTTAATTATAATCCATTCATGTGCCATAATATTTATTACATCATTTGAACTTAAAGTTGAGCAGTTACTTTTATGAATCCCTTAAAATAGGTTTGTTTGTGGGTTTTCCTTCAAGAGTCATTAAAAAAAACAATGTGAAATAAACAGTATAAAATAAGCAAATATTAATTTTTGTTGTGTATCCAAACTTCATGTAACCTGTATGAGTCTTCATTTGACTATAGAGAGCGAAAAAATGAGTTTGTAAAGAAGCGCAAATAAAGATACCAGAACTTGAACCAAAAACAACAGATTCAAAAAATCGCGACATTTTGGAGATCTTTTCATACTACTTGCATTGTGCTGTCCCTGAATCCAGAAAAGTCTCTAATTTGAAATTAAGTAAATAAATATATTAAATGAAATTGTACTGACAAATATTCAAAGGAATAAAGTATTTATTTCTGTTTATTTATACATATCACTTAAGACTTTAACAATTAAATGCTTTTATGGCGTGGGCCACTGAGGGCCCCACATCTCATTCACTCACAGTCCCAGAGTCTGAGAGCGAGCACACGTCGTATTTAATAGAACGGAAGGTGGAAAAACGTTTTGTGAAGCTGTTGAAAGAGAAGACAAATGACAAGCCAGGAACACGGGTGCTCATTTGAACATGAGTTCCGACAACACTCTACCACCGGCGACATGTCTTTCGGGACTGCACTTCACCCTTAATGAGAAAGTGGGCGCCACGAAAGAAAGAGTACACGAGAGCAGCTATCTACCTCTCTCGTACTTTCACCAGAGCTCGCTGAGCACAGTACTCGGCCTTTGTCGCTAGAAATGCAAGAGCTTCTAAAAACTCTTTCAAACCCTTCCATTACGTTGCATTCAAATGGCTTAGGTGAGTTTTAAATGCCATTAACTTCTACAACTTTAGTGCCGGTCGACCTGCTACACAATGAACAAGAAATATGTGAAAAAAGACAATCATAGATATGCGAGCTGGAAGGGGGAGGCAAAAGAGCTCATAGCTTTTGGTAATGAAATATTTTATTTTCTTCAATATGTTCAACCCCTGATTTTGCCCCATTTTAAGGTTTTTTATTAAATAAGTTTCTTACACACCGGATTAGCGCTTTACAAGAGCGTTTTGTCATTAATTGTACATAACTAACTAGGCGTTAAACTTAATAAGAGCGAGGCCATTCTCTTTGAAGTCCTCAATTTCAATTTTGGATTATGTGGTTGGAGGGATTTGGAGGAATAGTAGATTGTTAGAAATTAATATCATTATATTAGACGATGAAATGGGTTATTTAGGTGATCTGAATTTATCCTTGGGGAATATGGATTATATTGTCCTTTGAGTGTAGGATTTCCAAGTCGGAAATTAACTTGCAGATGAAAAAAGGTTTGGAAACATGGTATTTGAAAATAAGTTGGGGTTTGTTGTGCGATATATCAAATTCTTTATGCAATTGATTATTAGATTCATTCTCTTAGCAACATATTTTATCATTTCTATGTAAACAAAAAAAACTCACTTTGAAACGGGGTTCACAAATGTACTTGCTTACTCATGTATTAGTGTGCGAACGTCTAGGCTTATAACATCGCTCTCATAATTAAAATTGTTTTTAATCTTCAAATATTTAAGTTAGTTGTTTCATTAATTCCTTCAAAATTAATTGAGTTCGTTTGCAAAAAGGAAACTTTTACTTTACTTGTGAATACAAAATATGTGCAGCCGTTTCAAATATGTCCTGAAAAAAGTGTCGGCAGGAAGAAGAAATTCGCTGGTAAGTGGTTTTCTGTGAACTTATAATATTCCCTCAATGCGCCGGCATGTAGTCGAACGTCGAACACGAGAAAAAGTGGCAACAGAATATATTAAGAGTTTTCCTTCAAATTATACAAGTTACGGCGAAAAGTTATAGGCATAACTCTCTTCCTTTTTCTTGCGGAAGTTAATAGTAACTTGATTTATATCTTAAAGAGTTTCTTGACAAGAAAGGAGAGAATTTTCTTCAGCATAATTAAATATTAACTGTTAGAACCTACTCCCAGCTTTAAAGTTTCTTCGTTGCACTATGCACAGTATTCGCTACAGAAATTTGGAAGCCAAAATTGCATTTATTTGAAGTCGTTGAGTGAAACGTATCACACTTTCATAAAAAGTACAGTTCGAAAAGTTATATACTAGAGCTGTAATAACAGTAATGCGGTCTTTTCGTTGAATTATTTCTGCAGGATTAAGATGCAAGTTTCAGAACCAAGAAGACCTTACGTTTTGACTCACTTAAAACAACATTTTAAATATTCTTTTAATAAAATAGTTCTGCTAAATTTTTCTGAACATGTTATGCGAGTAATATTTCATATTAAATATCAAATATCCAGTACTCCATTAACTAAGGAGCATTGATTTGTCTTAGACTAGGTTTATGTATAAACGTGTGTAACGATAATTTTTCGCCCTTGTATCAGCATTAGGTATTTAAAACATCGACCACACAAATAAAAATAATAGTACAGTTTAAAAAAATGGAATCGAAATATTATCTTCTTTTATCGAAGAGAATATTCATGTATAAAATTGTTATTATTACTTACAAATACATCAGAAAATATTGTTTATGGTAGGGGTATTCATAGCGCTAAAACATACGTAACTTCAAATTACATACTTTGTACTTTGGTGTTCAATGATTTCTGACACTTCCGTTTTGCTCGAAAAAATAGTCATACTCCAACGGCAGTTGCTGGTTTAGGGTTGTAGGTTTAAATATCGCGCATGTGTTGGCACATGGAAAGCACAGGCAAGCCTCCACGTATCGAGTAAGATAATTGAAGTAATAAATACGATAAAGCAGAACCAGAAGAAGAGAGAAGAATTAAACAAGAAGAGAAAAGATAAGGAGAAAGTACATTAAGATAAAATAAAAGGAATGAAAGAAGAACAAGAAAAACAAAACGAAAAATTATAAAAAAAGAGAAAAGGTAAGAAGAAAGTTGGTAAAAAAGAAAAAGCACAAATAAAGAAAGAAAGAAAGATAGAAAGAACGAAGTACAAGAAAGACAAGATAAAATAAAAGGAAAACCAAAATCAGAAAAAGAAGAGGAAGACCAAGGAGATGAAGGAACGGAAGAATTAAGTAGAGAGAGAAGAAAAAGCAGAGAGAAAGGAGAAAAAGAAATAGATTAACAATAGGAGCAAGAATAAGATTAACAAGAAAAAGGGAAGTAAAAAGAGGAAAGACGAGGGAGGAGAGAAGAGGAAAGGAAAGAAGAAAGTTGACGGAAAAAATCAGAAATAAAGGAAAGAAGGAGAGTTAAGGCAAGAATAAAATTAACAAGAAAAGGAGAAGTGAAAGGAGAAAATAGACGAAGGAGAAGAGGGAAGAAATGAAGAAATACAAAAAATCAGAAATAAAGGAAAGAAGAAGAAGGAAGACAAGAATAAAATTAAGGACAAGAGGGAGACAGAGGGAGAGTAAGAAAGAGAGTCAGAGAGAGAGAGAGAGAGTCAGAGAGAGAGAAAGAGTCAGAGAGAGTCAGACAGAGAGTCAGAGAGAGAGAGAGAGTCAGAGAGAGTTAGAGAGAGAAAGAGTCAGGGAAAGAGAGTCAGAGAAAGAGAGAGTCAGGGAAAGAGAGTCAGAGAAAGAGAGTCAGAGAGAGTCAGAGAGAGAGTCAGAGAGAGTCAGAGAGAGAGTCAGAGAGAGTCAGACAGAGAGTCAAAGAGAGTCAGACAGAGAGTCAGAGAGAGAGAGAGTCAGAGAGAGTTACAGAGAGAGAGTCAGAGAGAGAGAGTCAGAGAGGGTCAGAGAGCGAGAGAGCGAGAGAGAGCGAAAGAGAGAGCGAAAGAGAGAGAGAGAGAGAGCGAGAGAGAGAGAGCGAGCAGAGCGGGAGGGCTGGCTGGCTGGCTGGCTGGCTCACCAGGAGGAAGGCGGAGAGCGCGCCCGAGAGCACGCGCGTGCCGGCGGAGGCGGTGAGCGCGCCGTCGTCCATGGCGTCGACGGCGGCGGCGGCGTCCAGGCGCTCGTAGCGTCGCGACCGGATCTGGCGCCACAGCGCCCACAGCATCTGGATGGCGCCGAACGACCCGCCCACCACCATGTACACCGGCAGGTGCGGCTCGCGCGGGCAGTCGCGCAGGTGCTGGATGCCTGCGGCACGCGCCGTCCTCACGTGTTTTTTTTAATTTTTTTGCGTTTAGTTCAACTGGGAGCACGCGTGCATTATCTGGGAAGGGGGAGGGATCAGCATTTTTTGCTGAATCCCGATTTTTATTCCTCAAGGTTGTTAGCCCTGGGGGTATGGACGATGAGATGATTGTGATAAGGGATGAAAAGACGGCACACACACTTATAGATATACACAAATACACCCATGCACGAGGCGGGACTTTAAAACCGCGGTCTTCTGGTCCGAGACCGCTACGATACTGTCCTAACGATCTCGGCCACCTCGATTGGCCCTCATGGGTTTGTTACTGCACGTGTTTTATTTCTCTTCCCTAACTTAATGTTTCATTTTTTAAAACAACTTATAATTGTCATAATCATTAACAGTCGTCCTTCAAAAACTGAAATATTATGTTACGTATGAAAAATAAACATACAGAAGCTTTCCTGTACTACACATGTTTTAAAACATCGATGTTCATAATACATCGCCTCCAAACCATCGATGTTTTTAAAACAGGTTTCCATAGTTACGAGTACTATGGCCATTAGATATTCAGGGCCCGATTAAAGTACTGCGGGACTCTGAAGCACAAAATCGTGTTGCCTCCGGAAAAGTTGTCAATAAATACAATAATTTTCAAAACACTTTAGTAAGTAGTCTTTTGATATTTTTTGAATTTTTTAAATTGTTTTGTGAACTTTTTTTTGGGGTGCGAGACCTTAGAAGGTTTGGGAATCGTCAGCAACCAACTTATTTTCTTTGTAGGTAATACCATATTTTATTAACTACATTAGTTGAAGGATAGTAAATGCATAATTATTTAAGATCGTATAGCTAAGGGTGAATGAAACCTTTTTTGAGATATGAGACCATGTATTGTCAGACTAAACCAAGTACCATGAGGGTGAGAAGACAATGGAAGGTTATTGATTTGGTGATTGTGATTTTGCTGAGCCGTGGTACGGCCATGATTTACAGAAGGTATTGAATTTATTGAATTAAAACTTCTAATAACTTGTGAAAGTTATTAGAAGTTTATGAGTTGTAGAATTTAAATGGCAAGAGGAAGCATCAGTACTTTACACTCAAAATTGGCGAGCACAAAAAGAAAGATTAATTCGTGGGATTTTGAAATCCATTCGAATGTATTCATCTCCAGAGAGAAATAAATACAAATAAATTGTGTTTGTTGTTTGAATGTGGTGTTATCTGAATGAAAGAACAGTGGCTCGAAACGAGTTAGGCACGCGGGACAATTTTTTTGCACATGTCAGCGAAATTTTCCTGGGTATTCCGACACTGACAAATAAGTTCCTCGTCGATAACAAAGAATTGCAAAACGATTTGAATTACCTTCGGCGATGGACATCCTACTTCCGTATGAAAATAGGATTTCTTTTACACCGTGGTCGTCTAGCGTGGAAGATAATTCGAATTGTAAATTCAGCCGTGAAAGCCTACATTGCTTTATTAATTGCAAAACTATAAAAAAGAATCCTGCCATGTATTTGTATACTTTTGAATAGAATTCGTGGATTAAATAATAATTTTCGTTATTAAAATGCCGGAAAATTGCAAGGGAAATAAAAAAAAAACATGGATGGAAAGTTGACTGAAAAAAATCATAAAAGAATTAAAAATGTATGCATGTATTTGGCATTTTGGGATTATTATCCGACTTTGCCGGCTAGTTATCGGTGTTCCTAATGCCTGCACTTAGTTTAATTCCCACACTCGAAGGCTTAAGAGAAACATGTGGTGAACATTATTTTCTTCACCGTACCTAGCAAAGTACGACCGACCGAGCTTTTCTTCGTCACACAGCAACAGAAACTGAGACAATTTTAGAAGGAAATATACAACTATTTTTTGCCTCGACCAGAAATTGAACCCGGAATCTCAAAGGAAAGCAAGCACGCTACTAAAGTCATCTTAGGGCTGTAGAATTAAAAATTCTTCGCAATAAAGGGAAGTGAAATCGAAAATAATTCATCATCTTTGTGTAATATAACTGCAATATTCGAGTATTCCTCGCACGCGAAATAAGGCTGTCTCGTTGTCTAAAACGCTGAGAATGGCGTTCGTAAGTCCACACACGCGTAAATTAGCCAACTGGACACGACACACGAACACTGGGATGCTCTATGAGCTCAAAACAGCTCGGTTTTTAAACAACATCCGACAACCGGTTTTGGGAGCAATTTTGTGCGGTTAAGGCTCATGAGCTCTACCCAGGAAAGTTGCGCTTAGGTGCGAGGTTAAAACTGACCGCTAATGGCGCGCTCTCGTTCTAACCACAAAATGCTATGAAGGAGACAGGATCTTTACTCTCCATATTGAGAAACGTAAAAACGGCCAAACACAGCAGTAACGATGAGTATTATGGAGTAGGCTAATTTGGATTTTATATTCTGGAGGATTAAAAAAAAGTAGATATATGGGTGGTCATCAGATATTTTTCAGGGTTTCTTACTAGTCGAGAGGAGTATTATTATATGATAAAATGAAATAATAAAAAATAAAATTATCTATTTTATCTACCGGTAAATATAAAAAAATAATGCTAGACAAAATATTTTTTCTGCTCTCCCAAATCTATAACCTGCTAAAAATTGACCAAAACATAGCAGTTAAAACCAATCAAGTTTTAATATACAACTGTCGATTAACGTACGTTAATAATAACATAATTCTTCAAAATCTACATTAATGCAAGAATTCGTAGAATACGAATAAATTCACATCGTTTCGAATGTTCTCAATAAATTAATACTGCTATGTTTTTTCAATAAAAAAACAAAACAACAAAAATATTGTTTACAGAACCCAATGCGAGATTGGCCGATGCAAGCGATACCGTTCTCGTTTCGCTCTGCCCCAGGGAGATCCAGAGATCATTACAAACTCTGCATGTTGAGTAGCAGTGAGTAGTCGGGAGAATTGGAGACTGCTGTGACCACCAACCACTCCACACGCGGCGCCCGGAACGCGGTCTGCAGGTAAGAGGGACAAATTGGCACTTACCCATGATGAGCATGAGCAGCGGCAGCGACGTCAGGCACACCAGCACCACCGTCACCACGGCTGCAACAGCGCGCCAGGCGGTGTCGTTTGGAAACCACATGTATTCGTCCGTTCGCTCTCCGGATTTTACAACGAACCATTGCAGATCACATCCGAAACGGTCACTATAATGGTACTCGTCAGAATGCAACATACTCAGGTACACTTATTGGAGAATTGATGTCCTTTGGATGAGATAGTCATTATGAGATAATGTTCCTAATTAATCATTTATTTATTTTATTCTTAGATACTTATCTAATATCTAGAAAATAAAATACACTTGAAACTGGGAAATTGTCGGTAAAATTAATGTTTTTCGCAGTATTAAGACAGCTACGGAAAAAATATTCATATTTTAGAACAAAATAAATTTTATTTTTATTATCAAAATATTTCAAACAGGTTATCTTCGTTTTCAAACTGTATGTAACGAGAGAGGTACTCTATAATTAGACCACGAGACACAAATAAAACTAACAAAGATTAAAATAATGATTAACATTAAGGTATTACATATTTTTGTGAGTTCCTTGCTAAGTAACAAAAAGTCCTAAAATTTGTTAAACACACTTTAAAATTAATCAAAGTGATGAAGTTGAAAATTAAACAATACAAAAGTGCATTACTGCGTAATAAAATCAAACATATCGAGCATAGTTCCCAACATACCATTTAATACCACAGCCTATTCTGTCGGAACACGTAAAATAAAGCCCTCACAATGGCACCCCTTTAATGAGTGACGTAAAGGACATTTCTCTATTTATTACGACGGCGTATTCCTAGCTTTAACGGGGCTGTACGCGTGTGATTTACAATTTCGCATCACAAAGGAGTCCGCGTTGGCGCAGCGCGCGACGCAGATGACTCATGTGTCTAAATAAACGCTCCATTGTTCGGGGGCCGGGGGCGGGGTGCGGGGCGTGCGTGGGCTCGCGGCTATGAAACGCACGTCGCCCGCGAGCAGATGAGGTCCTGCGAGCCGCGAACGCCGCCGCCGCCGCCTCGCCGTCACATGGCGTCGCCCCCGCCGCACCCGGTCGCCTGCGACCGCGGGTAATGGCGCAATACCAATTAATTTAGCCGCACTTCGGGGGCGTATTGCGTCGCGGGGGGGGGCGCACGAGGAACGAGGGATGGGGTGAAGTGAGGGAGGAGGGGAGGGGAGAGAGGTCTGACCGCTTTGACCAGTTTGCACCGGTTGCCACCGGCGAAGCCACGGGCCTCTAGAACAGCACTAGTGAGGCACACGCGGAAGTGAATCACGACCCGAGTACTCTCCTAGGTAATTAGTTTATAATTGCACGTTATCGCATTCATTCAAAGTAATTTCTGCTAATAATTACACAATTTCACCTTAATTACACAAATCCCTTTTTAATTACACGTTATCGTATTCACCAAAACAAATTCTCTCACAGAGAAAGTAGATAGTCAAATATCTCTAGAAAAAGTAATTTAAATTGAAAATTGAATTTTGTATCAACTTCTGACACTGGATTTAACGAAAATTTAAACAATGGAATTAAAAGCTAAGAAAACGAGAAGAAATGCTCAGTTCCTATTCCTTTTCTATAAACATGAAAGTAAGATCTAATTTTTGGAAGAAAATGCAAGATATATAGATTTTTATGTATCTAATTTTTTTAATGTTAATTTTAAATCAAAGTGACAACTATTTTTCAAAACCATTTTATCAATTCTTTTTATTATATCTATTTCTTATATTTTGTTCCATAGTAAAAGAAAATAGTGAAACCAAGTTGTTTTCATACGTTGCTGATAAATAGGTGGCAGAAGGAACAGGTGGATGCAGGTCTGATGACGGTGACAGCTGGCTCACATATTTCCCTCTCACTTAGCGATGACGGAGAAGAGAGTGGTTTGGGAGGGAGAAACAGGAACACGTGCGGGGAAGGAGGCTCTGGCAGGGATTGAATGATCGAGGTAGTGAAAGGAGCCATTGGTGAGGGCGTGGGCGAGATTGATTAGAAGTAAATCACATGTGCACAGTGAAGCAAAAAGGCCAAGGCACGAGAAATAGTAGAGGAATGGGAGAGAAAAGGGAGGGAAAGGTGAGAGGAAGAGAGAAGGAAAGGGGACAAAAATTGGAGTCAATGGGTAAGGCACTGGGGGAGGACGGAGTCGACGGGAAAGGGGAGAGAATGAATAGAGGAAAGGGAGAAAACATGAAGAGAATGGGTAAAAGAAAGACGAAGTTGTGGAGGGGCCGAAAAAGAGCTGGAAGAGAGGGGGAAGCATGGAGAAAAATGGCAGAAAAATAGGGGGAAAGGACGGGAAAGAGGTGAGAGAGGAGAGGAAAATATGTGGGAAAGGGGGAAGCGGGGATAGAAAAGGGAGGGAAAACGATATGGAAAGGGGTGGGGTAGGGCTCGAGAAAGGAAAAGGAAAGGGGACGGGAAAGAGGTGAGAGAGGAGGGAAAACTGTGAGAGAAAGGAGGAAGAGCGGAGAGAAAAAGAGGGGAAAGGGCTATGGAAAGGGGTTGGGGAGGGGTCGAGAAAGCAGAGGGAAAGGGGACGGAAAGTCGTGAGAGAGGAGATGAAACTGTAATAGAAAGGGGGAAGAGCGGAGAGAAAAAGAAGGAAAAAGGAGTGGGGGAGGGATCGAGAAAGGAGAGGGAAAGGGGTCGGGGAGTGGTGAGAGAGCAGATGAAACTGTGATAGAAAGGGGGAAGAGCGGAGAGAAAAAGAAGGAAAAGGGGTTGGGGAGGAACCAAGAAAGGAGAGGGAAAGGGGTCTGGAAGTGGTGAGAGAGGACATGAAACTGTGAGAGAAAGGAGAAGAGCGGAGAGAAAAATACGGAAAAGGGTTCGGGGAATGAGGGAAGGGGGGGGAGGACGGGGTCGGGGAGTGGAGGAAGGGAACGGGGTGGAGGGAGAGGGAAGGGGCGCGAAGTGCTCGCGCACCCGCGCGCGTTCGCCCGAGTGCGCGTGGAATTGCGCATCCACACGAAGCCCTGCCCCGAAACAAACAATTAAACGCGCGTGAACACGTTTGCGCAAACAGAGCACACACAATCTCAGAGAGAGCCACAATTGGCCAGTTTTTTATCTGATTGCCGCATAAACTCATTTGCGACGAATGGAAACTCACAAGCGATTGAAGTACTTACCCCGAGATGCGCACTATAATATTATTCCATAGACGTGAAGCAAAAATGAAGTTACATATGAAAAATGAAGTACAGTATTCGTACAACTTCTGGATTTGATGTTTAGTCTTACTCACTACATCTAGACAGTAACGAATTCATTTGATATGCAAAAATCCTCTCACTGCGTCGCATAAAAAGTAGTCTCGTAGTGTACGCACCATCAACTCGCTCGGGCATTGCATTCATCTAGTTCATTTACCATCAGATAGAGGCCGTGGGGCGTGACGCGCATGAAGAGTTGCACATGCGACTTGAACACGATGCAAATGAGAGCAGGGGATTCAGGCGTTGCAGGAGCTCAAAGAAAAGGCAAAAGTTTCTAATAACTTTCCTCCTCAAATCTGCGTGGAAAATGACCCGCTTACATGCAAGCCTTTGTTCTCTATCGAGCCATGTTGAACTTCAATCAGTGTGGAATATTTAGGGTTGTATGTAGCCGTATAAGTGACTTCTTTTTACAGAGTATATAGTATACGTGATGACAGTTGTAAATATATAAGTAAGTTTATTCTTTTATATGAGAAAAGGAATTAAATTCACTTACAATAATTAAATAAATTGCTAATGAAACCGAAACAAATACGGAATAATACATATTTACGAATTCATTTCGTTCTCTTTTTACTGAATATACTTTCTAGGCCCATATACTCCATTAAAATGCCATTGTATGTTTGATTTTTTTAAAAATTATATTAAGTCAGAACACAACGCAACGATGTTCTTTTGCGGAGGAAGTGGCCTGTTACGTTAATTACAAAATAATCTTCTGATAAAATCTCACATTCAATTGCTCAGTGAATTTCCAGTTTATCTTAATGCTCAGAAAATTGGGGGGATTGCTCCGAGAAGAGAATCATTGTTTTTTTCTGATTGTTTCATTGTAGCACGCAAAGATAGTATACCAGAATTCTAGCACAAAACTTTTCTAGACATATTTCCGTGTCACGCAAGAACAGCACAGTCGATCGTCACAGAACAGCATGGAGCCTCCTCACGGCACGCCAATTTAAAGTAATTTCATTTCAAATGGAGCCAGTGGCCATGCCATCAATCAGAAATACAGGCAAAGCGCGTGTTGCTGCTGTTAATATCCATTTAATATTTTTATTTCTTTTTTCAAAGAGTCATTATTCTTCCTTTCGTTGTGCATTTTTAAGAAAATGTGATGGATTTCACAGTATCACAAATGAAGAATGACTTTGTGCACAATCTAACATTATAAACGTGTTTGAAAAAATATAATGCATTTCGAAGAGTTACGAATGGAAGAATTACTTTGTGCTCAGTCTAAAAACATAAATGTGCTTGAAGACCGTCGAAAAAATTATTTTTTTTGCCATTTACTTGTTCAAGATATTGGTTATTACAACCTTGATATGTCTACACATAAATAACTTGTGTTTTCCAAATATAAAAATACTACACCACATCGATTGTTTTGATGCACAGCTTCAGATTCTGGGAACAAATGGGTAGCATTTATGTTGTGTGAACGCAATTGCGGTGCGAATTGAAGGAGCGTCCGCTAACACAGCACTGGGGCATAGGATCCGAGGGTGTCGGCGCGCGTGGAAGCGAAGTGTATTTCGCTCATTTTTTTGGGGCCGCAGCAGCTGCCACCGCCGCCGCCGCCGCCCCCGGCCTCTCCCTCGAGAGCGACGACGCGAGCGCCAACAAAGGGAAGTCCCGCGAGGTCGGCGCCGCCCTGCGCCCGGGGCTTCGCGCCCTTGCCCGCTCCACGGCCCTTCCTCCCCCTCCTCTCTCCCTCCCCGTCTTCCCCACCCGCTCCGCTCCTACCCGCTTCCCGACCCAGTCCCTCTCCTCCCTTCCATCCGACTCG